GAGGATTGAAGTAATACCAAGCATCTTTTCCAAACACAATGGTATGAAACTAGAAATTAATTTTATGAAGAAGGAGTGCCTGGGTGGCTCAGTCGGCTCAGGTCATGATCTTGCACTTGAGGAGTTCAAGCCCCAAGTCGGGCTCTATGCTAACAGCTTGGAGCCTGGAGCCTGCTTCGGATTCTGTGTCTCCCACCCTCTCTGCCCCTCCCTCGCTTACGCTCTCTCTCTCAAAAATAAACAAACATTTTATATATATATATACATATATATATATATATACACACACATTATATATATATATATATCACATATTTGTGAATTTTCCAGTTTTCTTCATAAAATTATATATATATATATAATTTTATGAAGAAAACTGGAAAATTCACAAATATGTGATTAAAACAGCTACTGAACAACCCAATGGGTCAAAGAGGAAATAAATTTAAAAACACCTTGAGACAAATGAAAACAAGTATACCAAAATTCATGGGATGCAACAAAAGCAATTGTAAGAAATTCATAGTGATAAATGCTGGCTTCAAGAAACAAGAAATGTGTCATAACAACTGAGATCTACACCTCAATAGAACAAATGAAGCCCAAAGTTAAGAGCGGGAAAGCTATAACAAAGCATAAATAAATGGAGTCTAAAAAGACAATGAAGAAGATCAATGAAAGTAAGAGCTGGTTCACTGAAAAAGATAAAACTACATCGACAAGCTTTTAGCTAGACTCACCAAGAAAAAAGGACTCAAATAAAATGAGAAATGAAAGATATATTAGAACTAATACCACAGATGGGGCGCCTGGGTGGCTCAGCCAGTTAAGCGTGAGACTCTTGATTTCTGCTCACGTCATGATATCATCGTGAGATTGAGCTCCACATTGGGCTCTGCACTAACAGTGTGGAATCTGCTTGGGATTCTCTATCTCTCCCTCTAGGCCCCTCCCCTGCTCATTCTCTCCATCAAAATAAATGAACTTAGGAAAAGAAATGAACTTAAAAAAAAAAAAAAAAAAAAACTTGGCATCTGGGTGGCTCAGTCGGTTGAGCATCCGACTTCGGCTCAGGTCGTGATCTCGCGGTCTGTGAGTTCGAGCCCCAAGTCGGGCTTTGTGCTGACAGCTCAGAGCCTGGAACCTGCTTCGGATTCTGTGTCTCCCTCTCTCTAGACCTCCTCCACTCATGCTCTGTCTCTCTCTGTCTCAGAAATAAATAAACGTTTAAAAAAATTACAAATAAATAAAAACTGATACCATAGAAATACAAAGGGTCATAAGAGACTATTGTGAACAATCATATGCCAACAAATTAGACAACCTAGAAGAAATGGATACGTTTCTAGAAACATGCAACCTACCAATTGTAGGTTTCTAGGAACATGCAACCTACCAATTGTAATGAAACAGAAAATCTGAACAGACTGATTACTAGTAAGGAGATTGAATCAGTAATCAAAAACCTCCAAACAAAAGTCCAGGACTAGATGGTCTCACTGGTGAATTCTATCAAACATTCAAAGAAGAATTAATCTCAGTCATTCTCAAAATCTTCTAAAAAATAGAAGAGGGAACTCTTCAAAACACTTTATGAAGCCAGCATTACCCTGATACCAAAACCAGACAAGGATGCCACAAGAAAAAATTACAGGCCAATATCTCTTAACAAATACAGATGCAAAAATTATCAACAAAATATTAGCAAACTGAATTGAAAAATACATTAAAATGATCATACACCATGATCAAGTGGGATTTATTCCAGGGATGCAAGGACCCAGGGTTCAACATCCACTAATTGGTCAATTGATACACCACCTCAACAGAAGAAATAATCATATAATCATCTCAATGCAGAAAAAACATTTGACAAAATTCAATATCCACTTATGATAAAACTCAAAAAAGCAAGTATAGAGGGAATATATCTTGACATAATAAAGGCCATATATGACAAACCTACAGCTAACATCATACTCCATGCACCAAACATGGTAAGATTAGGAACAAGACAAGGATGCCCACTCGTGCCACTTTGATTCACTATAGTATTGGAATTCCTAGCTAGAGCAATTAGGTAAGAAAAGGCATCCATATTGGAAAGGAAAAACTAAAATTGCCACTATTTGTAGATGACATGATAGTATATATAGAAAACCCTAAAATTTTTATCAAAAAACTATTAGAGCTAATAAATTCAGTAAAGTTGGATACAAAATCATTATACAAAAATTGTTTGCATTTCTGTATGCTAGTAACTATCAAAAAAATTAAGAAAACAATCCCATTTACAATTGCATCAAAGAATAAAATACCTAGGAATAAATGTAACTAAGGAAGCGAAAGACCTGTATATTAAAAACTACAAGGAGCACCTGGGTGGCTTAGTTGGTTGAGCATCTGACTCGATTTTGGCTCAGGTCAGGATCCCAGGGTTGAGGGATTGAGCCCTGTATTGGGCTCTGTCCTGAGTGTGGAGCCTGACTAAGATATTCTCTCTCTCTCTCTCTCCCCCTCTCCCCCCCCGCCTCCGCCCCTCTCCCCCACTCTCTCTCTAAAGTTAAAAAAAAGAAAAACTACAAGACATTAACAAAAGAAATTGGAGAAAATACAAGTAAATGGAAAGATATCCTATTCTTATGGAATGGAAGAATATTGTTATAATGTTTATACCACCAAAAGCAATATACAGATGAATGCAATCTCTATCAAAATTTCAATGGCGTTTTTCAAAGAAACAGAACAAACCTAAAACTTGTATAGAACACAAAAAATCTCAAATAGCCAAGGCAATATTGAGAAAGAACAACAAAGCTAGAGGCATCACACTCCCTGACTTCAAACTATATTACAAAGCTATAGTAATTAGATGGCAGAGTAGGGGGACCCTAAGTTTGCCCCATTCCACAGATACAACTAGATAACACTCATATTGGTATAAATAGTCCAAAAAATGATCTGGAGACTGGCAGAACAAACTCCACAACTAAAGGTAGAGGAGAGGTCACATGGAGAAAAGTAGGAAGAGTGAAGACACAGTCTGAGAGTGAATGGACTATACTGGTCCATGGTGGGGAGGGAGCTGGTGGTAGAAAAGGGTGAAAAACAGAGTTTCACATCAGGAAACCCAGAAATGGGGAGGATGAATCCCCATAACATTTGTCTTTGAGAGAGGGGCCAAATTTCATTGAGTTCTTAACAACCATTGGGACTTAAACCCTGGAATTTTAAAAATTGGTGAACTCAGCTCTGGGAGAGCTCAGAGGGTGTTAGGAAGTGGAGTCCCTACCCTTAAAGAGACAGCATAACAAACAGCCTGTGCAGATACAGTGTACAACCAGCAGTTTGAAAAATGCCAGGGGCAGACAGGAGAGACAGTAATTTGCTCAACCTGGAGTGTAGCCCTAAGAGACAGGGATCATAGAGAGACCACTTCAGAAACAAAGGAGCTGGCAGGTGCCACTTCCCTTCCCCCACCCCTCACCATAAACAACAGCCATCTGTGGGAACCAGTGCAGCATCAACACGTGTTACCTAACTTGCTTACACCAAGTCCCGTGTACCCCCTGAGCTTCAGCGGATCTGCCCTTCCCAGTCACGCTCCCCTTAGTTCCAGCACTGCAGGCCCCCTTCCCCAGAGGACAGTCACAAACTCTGCCAACACCACATCTCCTGACCTGCACATTTTGTGGACCTCAGTTCTGATGGTTGTGGGAGTAGATCACATTTTGCGAGCAGACCACTGCACACCTTGTTAAAGCATACCCCACCCCTATTGGGGACCAAACACTACACACAATAGGCAAAGAGAGCCTCTGCAGACAATTGGACAGAAGAAAAAAGAGGCCAAGATTCAATAGCAGAGCATACACAACACATAGGAGACACCCCTTGAAGCACCAGGCCCGGGGGAACAGGGAGACACTGCAATGCAAGGCACTACAAGAACTTTTCTTCATAAAGCTATTATCAAGAGCAAGAGAAGTAGCCGACTCTCCTAACACAAAAACAGACACGGAGTTAGACAAAATGAGGCGACAGAGAAATATGTCTCAAATGAAATAACAGGGCCAAACCGCAGCAAGAGACCTAAATGGATATAAGAGATACACTTGATAGAAAATTTAAAGTAATGATCATAAAGATACTCACTGGACTTGAGAAGATAGTAGAGGACATCAGTGAGATCCTTAACACAGATAAAAAAAAAAAATCAGAGATCAAGAACACAATAAATGAAATCAAAAATACATTCGATGGAATAAATAGCAGTCTAGATGAAGGAGAGGAATGAATTAACGACCTTGAAGACAACATTCTAGAAAGTAACCAAGCTGAAAAAAGGAGAGGAAAGAAAATTACACAAATTGAGAATAGTCTTAGGGAACTTAGTGACTCCATCAGGTATAATAACATTTGTATTATAGGGATCTCAGAAGAAGAACAGAGAGAAAATGGGGTAGAAAATTTATCTGAAGAAATAATAGCTGAAAACTCCCCTAATCTGGGAAAGGAAATGGAGATCCACATCCAGGAGGCACAGAGATCCCCCAGAATTCAACCCAAGGAGGTCCACACCAAGACATACAGTAATTAAAATGACAAAAAAAAAAAAAAAAAAAAACAGTGATAAAAAATTTTAAAGCACCAAGTGAGAAAAAGACAATTACATACAAAGGAAACTCCATAAGGCTATCAGTGGGTTTTTCAGCAGAAACATTACGGGCTAGAAAGGAGTGGCATGATATATTCAAAGAGGTGAAAGGGAAAAAATTTCAGCCAAGAATACTTTCTCCATCAAGGCTACTATTCAGAATAGAAGGAGAGATAGAATTTCTCAAACAAAAACCAAAGGAGTTCATGACCACTAAACCAGCCCTAGAGGAAATATTAAAGGGGACTCTTTGAGTGGAAAGGAAAGACCATAAGTGAGAGTATGAAAAGTAAAAAAACAAAGGCAGTAAAAATAAGTATTTCTGTAAAAATCAGTCAAGAGATTCATAAAATAAAAGGATATAAAATATGACAACATATACCTAAAAGGTGGTGGGGAGAGGAGTAAAGAATGAGCTCAAGCTAACACAACCATCAAACTGATATAGACAGAAGATGCTATACACAACCCTAATGGTAACCATAAATCCAAAATCAGTAATAGATATGCAAAGAATAAAAAGAAAAGAATCCAAGTATATCACTAAAAAAAAGCTGACTAATCATAAGAGAAGAGAGCCAGGGAAGAAAGGAACAAAGAACTACAAAAACAGCCATGAAGCAAGTAACAAAATGCCAATAAATACATATCTATCAATAATTACTTTGAATGTAAATGCGCTAAATGCTTCATTCAAAAGACACAGGACAACAGAGTGGATTAAAAAAATAATAATAATAACAAGACCCCAAAAAAAGACCCATCTATATGCTGTATACAAGAGACTCATTTCAGACTGAAAGACATCTGCAGATTGAAAGTGAAGGGATGGAGCCCCACCCAATCAGAGGCACAGCAGGCTCATGACTCCAGGCCTGGACGTCAGAGCTAAGAAGTGTTCAGAACCCAAGTCATGGATCCACCTATGCGTAAAGAAAATTCCAAAGTTAAACAACCTGTCAGCAAAGTTGAGAAGGCCAAGCAGAAATCAGCCCAGCAGGAGCTGAAGCAAAGACAAAAAGCAGAGATCTATGACCTCAACAGAGTCATGACAGAACCAGAGCAGCAAGAGTTCAATGAGTTCTGTAAACAGATGCAGCCGTCTGGAGAGTGAGCCACTCCTTGTTCAAACTAGATGGGACCCCAGAGGCTTTGTCTGTTAGCTTGTTACTGGTTTTAGGCTGAGATGCTTCATTTGGAACCGTACAGAACTAGACAGGAAGACATTTGTGTTATCCCTAAAACCAGATAAATCTGAACTTACTGCATGTAACGTTGGTTTCACTGATTCCTCCAGTCTGAATTATCCCAGTACTTACTGAAGAGACTTGTTTTATTCTTCTTAGACAATAGATTTTTTATATGTTTCCATTGTTTGAGAAAAATCAGTGTTTCTTGTGAAACTGTAGATCTCCGAAAGTATAAATAAAATACTAATAAAAAAAAAGTGAGGGCATGGAGAAACATTCATTATGCAAATGGATGCCAGAAGAAAGCTAGGATAGCAAGTCTTATATTGGAACAAATAGATTGTAAAACAATGAATGTAACAAGAGACAAAGAAGGGCACTATTAATAAAGGGGACAATCTAACAAGAGGGTATAATAATTGTAAATATTTATTCACCCAACATGGAAATACCCAAATACATAAAACAGTTAATACCAAACATAAAGGAATTAATTTATAGTAATAAAATAATAGTAGGGGACATTAACACACCACTCACATCATCCAAACATAAAATCAACAAGAAAACAGTGGCTTTGAATGACACACTGGACAGATGGATGTAACAGACATATTCAGAGCATTCCATCATAAAACAGCAGAATACACATTCTTTTCAAGTACACATGGAACATTCTCCAGAACAGATCACATATTAGGCCACAAAACAAGTCTCAACAAATTAAAAAAAAAAAAAATCTAAGTTATACCATGCATCTTTTCTGACCACAACGCTATGAAACTAGAAAAAGAAAAAAATCTGAAAAGACCACAAATACATGGAGTTTAAATAACATGCTACTAAACAGTGAATGGGTCAACCAATAAATCAAAATAAATAAATAAGTAAATTACATGGAAACAGATGAAAATGAAAACACAACATCCTAAGTCTTCGGGATGCAGCAAAAGTGGTTCTAAGAGGGAAGTTCGTAGCATCATGGGCCCACCTCAAAAGCAAGAAAACCACAAACAACCTAATCTTACACCCAAAGGAGCTAAAGAAAAAAACAAACAAAACCCAAACCCAGCAAAAGGAAGGAAATAATATAAGATTAGAGCAGAAATAAATGATATAAAAACTATAAATACATACATACATACATACATACATACATACATACATATATACATACATACATAAAACCAGGAGAGAGAGAAAGAGAGACAATGCAGTTAAAATCACCAGTGAAAGGGGTGCCTGGGTGGCTCAGTCGGTTAAGTGTCTGACTTCCACTCAGGTCATGATCTTACCACTCATGAGTTTGAGCCCCACGTCGGGCTCTGTGCTGACAGCTCAGAGCCTGGAGCCTGCTTTAGATTCTGTGTCTCCCTCACTCTCTGTCCCTCCCCCACTGGTGCTCTGTCTGTCTCTCAGAAATAAATAAATGTTAAAAATTGTTTTTTAAAAATCACCAGTGCAAGAGGAGAAATAACAGTCAACACCACAGAAACACAAAATAATTGTAACAATATTATGAAAATAAAACGTATATGCCAACAAATGGGATAACTTAGAAGAAATGGATAAATTCCTAGAAACATATACCCTCTAAGAAAAAAGCAAGAAGAAATAGAAAATTTGAACAGACCAATTACCAGCAATGAAATTGAATCAGTGATCAAAAATTCCCAAAAAACAAAAAGTCCAGTACCAGACAGCTTCACAGACAAATTCTACCAGAAGTTTAAAGAAGAGTTAATACTTTTTCTTCTCAAACTATTCCAAAAAATAGAAGAGAAAGGGAAACTTCCAAATTCATTCTATGAGGCCAGTATCACCCTGATAGCAAACCCAGATAAAGACACCACAAAAAGGGGAAAAAAAAAAAAAAAAAGGATTACAGGCCAATATCTCTCATGAATATAGATGCAAAAATTCCTAACAAAATAAGCAAGCCAAATTCAACAATACATTTTAAAAAAAAATCTAGTACCTCTATTAAGTGTGCATCCCTAGGATGCAAGTGTCATTCAATATTTGCAAAAAATCAATGGTATGTCACATGAAGAAAGGAAAGAATATGATCATTTCAATAGATGCAGTAAAAGCATTTGACAAAGTACAACACCATTCGTGACAAAAACCCTCAATAAAGTAAGTTTAGAGGGAACATATCTCAACATAATAAAGGCCTTATATGAAAAACCCACAGCTAACATCATACTCAATGTTGAAAAGCTGAGATGGGGCTCCTGGGTGGCTCAGTCGGTTAAGCGTCCGACTTTGGCTCAGGTCATGATCTTGCGGGTTCGTGAGTTCAAGCCCCGCGTCGGGCTCTGTGCTGACAGCTCGGAGCCTGGAGCCTGTTTCAGATTCTGTGTCTCTCTCTCTCTCTCTGACCCTCCCCCGTTCATGCTCTGTCTCAAAAATAAATAAACGTTAAAAATTAAAAAAAAAAAAAAAGAAAAGCTGAGAGCTTTCCCCCTAAGGTCAGAAAGAAGACGAGGATGTCCCCTCTCACCACTTTTATTCAACGTAATACTGGAAGTCCTGGCCACAACAATTAAGCAGTATAAAGAAAAGGCATCCAAATTGGTAAGGAAGAAGTAAAACTCTTGCTATTTTCAGAAAACCCTAAAGTCTCCACCAAAACAAACAAACAAACAAAAAACCAACCACACACACACACACACACACACACACACACACACACACACACACACTAGAACTGAGAAGTGAATTCAGTAAAGTTGCAGGATACATGGTCAATGTACAGAAATCTGTTGCATTTGTATACATTAATGATGAAGCAGCAGAAAGTGAAATTAAAACAATCCTATTTACAGTTGCACCAAAAACAGTAAAATATTTAGGAATAAACTTCACAAGAGAGGTGAAAGATTTGTACTCTGAAGAAATTCAAGACAATGCAAAGAAATGGAAAGACATTCCATGCTCATGGATTAGAAGAAAAATGTTAAAATGCCTATACTACCCAAAGCAATCTACAGATTTAATGCACTCCCTGTCAAAATAGCAACATCATTTTTCACAGAACTAGAACAAACAATCCTAAAAATTGTACCGAACCACAAAATACCTCAAATAGCCAGAACAATCTTGAAAAAGAAAAACAAGACTGGAGGTTTCACAATTCCAGACTTCGAGTTATATTATGAAGTGGTAGTAATTAAAATAGTATGGTACTGACATAAAAACAGACATACAGATCAATGCAACAGGATAGAAAGCTGAGAAATAAACCCACACATATATGGTCAATTAATTTACAACAAAAGACCAATAATATACAATGGAGGAAGGACGGTCTCTTCAATAAATGGTATTGGGAAAATCGGACAGCCACATGGAAAAGAATGAAACTGGGCCACTATCTCACACCATACACAAGAATTAACTCAAAATAGATTAAATACTTGAACATAAGACCTGAAGCCGTAAACCTCCTGGAAGAAAAGTTACCTCTTTTACATGGATTTTGATGATATATTTTTAAATCATTTTTTAATCTGACATGAAAAGCAAAATCAACAAAAGCAAAATTAACAAGTGGAACTGCATCAAACTAAAAGCTTCCTCACAGCAAAGGAAATTGTCAACAAAATGAAAAGAAAAACCTACTGGGGCACCTGGGTGGCTCAGTCGGTTAAGTGTCCGACTTTGGCTCAGGTCCTGATCTTACAGTTTGTGAGTTTGAGCCTCACGTCGGGCTCTGTGCTGACAACTCAGAGTCTGGACCCTGCTTCCAGTTCTGTGTCTCCTCTCTCTCTGCCCCTCCCCTGCTCTCTCTGTCTCTCTCTGTCTCTCTCTCAAAAACAAATAATAAAACATTTTTAAAAATTCTTTAAGACAACATACTGAATGGAAGAAAATATTTCCAAATCATGTATCTTATAAATGACTAATATGCAAAATATATAAAGAACTCATACAATTTTATAACAAAAATAACCCACAAATAATCCTATTAAAGATTGACTAGACATTTTCTATAAAGCAGACATACAGATGGCTAACAGGTGCATAAAAAGATGCTCAATATGATGAATCATCAGGGAAATGCAAATCAAAACCACAATGAGATATCACTTCACACCTGTTAGAATGGTGATTATCAAAAAGGTAAGAAATAAAAAGTGTTGGTGAGGATGTGGAGAAAGGGGAACCCTTATACACTGTCAAGGGGAATGTAAATTGGTGGAGCCACTACAGAAAACAGTATGGAGGTTCCTCAAAGAGTAAAATCAGAACTACCATACAATTCAGCAATTCCACTTCTAGGTATTTATCTGAAGAAAACAAGAACACTAACTTGAAAAGACATATGCACTCCCATGTTTATTGCAGCATTATTTACAATAGCCAAGACATGGAAACAATGTTAAGTATACATCAATGGATGAATGAATAAAGAAATTATGGTATAGATATATGCAATGGACAATTTAGCTATAAAAAAGAAAATCTTGCTATTTATTTTTTAATTTTTTTAATGTGTATTGTTGAGAGAGAGAAAGACAGAGTGCGAGCAGGGGATGGGCAGAAAGAGAGGGAGACACAGAATCTGAGGCAGGCTCCAGGCTCTGAGCTGTCAGCATAGAGTCGGATGCAGGGCTTAAACTCATGAACCGTGAGATCATGACCTGAGATCAAGTTGGATGCTTAACTGACTGAGCCACCCAGGTGCCCAAAAATCTTGCCATTTATGACAACATGGGTGGATCACAAGGGCATTATGTGAAGTGGAATAAGTCAGAGGAAGACAAATACCATATGATCTCTCTTATATATATAATCTTTAAAAAATCTAATAGATACAGATAATAGTAGTTGCTAGAGATGGGGTGGGGAAAAATGGGTGAACTTTTTTTTTTAGATTAAATAAAATGGAAAAAATTAAATAATTTAGTGAAAAAAAATCTCAACAATATAGTTTCTATACATTAACAATGAAGAATGTGAAAAGGAAATAACACAATTCCATTTACAATAGCATCCAAAAGAATAAAATGCTTAGGAGTTAACCAAGGAGATGAAAGACGTGTACAACGAAAACTACAAAATATTGCTGACAGAAATTAAAGACAAAAATAAATGGAAACACATTCCATGTTTATGGATTAGAAGAATTAATATTGTTAAGATGTCAATATTATCCAAAGCAAGTAGTTATTTAGGATTATATTCCAGGGGCGCCTGAGTGGCTCAGTCGGTTAAGCGTCTGACTTCAGCTCAGGTCATGATCTCACGGTTCATGGGTTCAAGCCCCATGTCGGGCTCTGTGCTGACAGCTCAGAGCCTGGAGCCTGTTTCAGATTCTGTGTCTCCCTCTCTCTGACCCTCCCCCATTCATGCTCTGTCTCTCTCTGTCTCAAAAAAAAATAAACGTTAAAAAAAAT